TCACGCTGCAACTCGCGCTTCACCTCTCCAATGGTCGTGTCAACGTCCACCACAACTCTTTTGACGCTTCCTGAAGGTAGTATCACACTGAGGAGGAAACCTGACGCCGCGCCGACAGCAAGGCTCTCCATGGCAAGGGTTTCTATGGAAATTCGTCCCTGATGGCCGAGAAGCTCGAGTCGAAGCAGCAGGTTGTCCTTCCTAGGCTCCCACTTTCTGTTGAGGAGAGATAATCCCCGATCTTTATCAAGCAACGAGAAGTAATTCATGAATGTATATATATATATATATATATATATATATATATATATATATATACACACAATGTATTTATATCGCTTTCACCAAGAGTTTTCACTGTTTATGTCGGTTTCACTCTTATGCTAAACTGGTGAAGGGGCTTGCTCGGATGCCTCTGCCTGACGAAACGGACCCTATCGAAGGCAAAACGGACCGAAACGGAGCTTGTAGGATATTATTTTTATCTTTTGATGCAAGAACTATACTTTAAATAAAGTCCACGTAATGAAAACTGAGTTGGCATCTGGCCTGGAAATCACTGATTTATGGAGCACCATTTTCGGTTCATGTACTGGCGCGGCCATATTGGATACAAGATTGTCTGGACTTCAGTAGTTATATAAAGTACAATTGTTGCAGTAAAAGATGAAAATCTATATAGTGCAGGCTCCGTTTCAGCCCGATTTGCCTCTGATTCGGTCCGCTTCGGTGTTCTTAAGAACCGTCTCTTCATCTCAGGCGCCACCCGATGCAACTGTTGCTTCTCTAGGTCCGCCATGCCATTGTTGCTTCATGATTTTACTGATAACTCTCTGTGTATATATATTTAAATGTACAAGTATACTCACACATGTATATATATATATATATATATATATATATATATATATATATGTATATATATATGTATGTATGTATGTATATTTATAACTAAATGCAAAGTTCTACCACAGATTTGTCCCGGAGTACTTTTATAATTGTTCATATATTATCGTATACGTACTTAACTGAAATGGCCCAAGACGCCTCATATATACAACGACATGTAAAACACATCAGATTTACGTGAATCTATATATCAGTCTAAATAGCTGTGTGTGTGTGTGTTTGTGTGTTTTATAAGTTGAGTACCATTTTATCACCACTTTAAAACGACAATGATGGCTATATGTATCTGATTTAAGTAATGCATTCGGAAACTTTACGTTCTGATTGAGATGCAAGATAACAACGAAGTTGATAAAAGACACTTTAGACAGTTATCTGAGGTTATTCATTGCCATAATCAATGAAGATATGTATTCAGACAAATACTTCTCCACTTGCAATTCACCGTAACTACTTGTCTTTTCAATTGTTTATCCCGAAACTTTAAGATAGATGGATCTGAACTGCCCATGGCTCTATAGGTCTCCGTCGTTTTTATAATGTGGCTAATGGTCCTCTTCACTGACCAAAGAGAGAAGGAGAGAGAGAGAGAAACTGATAGGCACACAGGGATCGGGAGAGGGGTGTTGGAGAGGGAAGAAGGGAACGAGAAAGACAGAGACAGGAAAACAGAAAGAATGTAAGAGATTAGGTTTTGAGCATCTATTCCTATAATTGTGGTCTGCGACAGTAATGATAATCTCTCCATTTCTTCCTCTGTTATTTCATATTCAGTGTGTCCAGATCAGCTCCACGGAGAAAGACATGAAGTGGTGTAGGGGAAGTCCGAGAATTTTGTCTTTTTGCAATACTGTCAGATTCATATTGTTGTTTAGCTTCATGCTGCTGGCAGAGATTGCTTACATTTGGCGTGGGGTGAATTATGAAGGGTAACCATTGGAGTTCTTCAACTGCCTTACTGCTGGGAGTTGGCTTTTATCTCTAATTTTAGAGTGGTATGATACATTAGTGATGAACTTTTGGTATTGCTTGTCGGCTACTTATTTACAATATTGAAATGTTCCATATATATGCCATAACACTCATAAATCCCGATATAACACCTCTATGTGGAGAGCTTTAGAGTGAAGACCCTATAAATCGTATATATATATATATATATATATATATATATATATATATATATATTATATGCATATATATACAATATATGTATATATATACTACACACACACACACACACACACACATATATATATATATATATATATATATATAAACGTATTTTTATAAATGTACAGATAGATATATCATGCAGGGTGAAATAAAGCGTTAAGAGTAAGGTAAAATCTATTTGAGCTTAACATATACAAAAAAAAAAAAAAAAAAAAAAAAAAAAAAAAAACAAATTCGAAATAAAAATGCCATAGACAGTCCTTAACGAACTACGAAATGCAGCATTCCCTTCCGACAGTTGCTCAACGACCTCCATCCTCCTGATCACTGAGTCGCCTTCGATCCCGTAATCCCTCAGGCGTTTATGATTCTGCATTTCCACGTTTCCCGCCATCAGACGCTGCCTGCTGGCTCTCGCGACACCATTCTCACGCTGCAACTCGCGCTTCACCTCTCCAATGGTCGTGTCAACGTCCACCACAACTCTTTTGACGCTTCCTGAAGGTAGTATCACACTGAGGAGGAAACCTGACGCCGCGCCGACAAAGGCTCTCCATGGCAAGGGTTTCTATGGAAATTCGTCCCTGATGTCCGAGAAGCTCGAGTCGAAGCAGCAGGTTGTCCTTCCTACGCTCCCACTTTCTGTTGAGGAGAGATAATCCCCGATCTTTATCAAGCAACGAGAAGTAATTCATGAATGTAATATATATATATATATATATATATATAATATATATATATATATATATATATATATGTAATATATTCACAATGTATTTATATCGCTTTCACCAAGAGTTTTCACTGTTTATGTCGGTTTCACTCTTATGCTAAACTGGTGATGGTGTTTGCTCGGATGCCTCTACCTGACGAAAACGGACCCTATCGAAGGCAAAACGGACCGAAACGGAGCTTGTAGGATATTATTTTTATCTTTTGATGCAAGAACTATACTTTAAATAAAGTCCACGTAATGAAAACTGAGTTGGCATCTGGCCTGGAAATCGATGATTTATGGAGCACCATTTTCGGTTCATGTACTGGCGCGGCCATATTGGATACAAGATTGTCTGGACTTCAGTAGTTATATAAGTACAATTGTTGCAGTAAAAGATGAAAATCTATATAGTGCAGGCTCCGTTTCAGCCCGATTTGCCTCTGATTCGGTCCGCTTCGGTGTTCTTAAGAACCGTCTCTTCATCTCAGGCGCCACCCGATGCAACTGTTGCTTCTCTAGGTCCGCCATGCCATTGTTGCTTCATGATTTTACTGATAACTCTCTGTGTATATATATTTAAATGTACAAGTATACTCACACATGTATATATATATATATATATATATATATATATATATATATATATATATATGTATGTATGTATGTATATTTATAACTAAATGCAAAGTTCTACCACAGATTTGTCCCGGAGTACTTTTATAATTGTTCATATATTATCGTATACGTACTTAACTGAAATGGCCCAAGACGCCTCATATATACAACGACATGTAAAACACATCAGATTTACGTGAATCTATATATCAGTCTAAATAGCTGTGTGTGTGTGTGTTTGTGTGTTTTATAAGTTGAGTACCATTTTATCACCACTTTAAAACGACAATGATGGCTATATGTATCTGATTTAAGTAATGCATTCGGAAACTTTACGTTCTGATTGAGATGCAAGATAACAACGAAGTTGATAAAAGACACTTTAGACAGTTATCTGAGGTTATTCATTGCCATAATCAATGAAGATATGTATTCAGACAAATACTTCTCCACTTGCAATTCACCGTAACTACTTGTCTTTTCAATTGTTTATCCCGAAACTTTAAGATAGATGGATCTGAACTGCCCATGGCTCTATAGGTCTCCGTCGTTTTTATAATGTGGCTAATGGTCCTCTTCACTGACCAAAGAGAGAAGGAGAGAGAGAGAGAAACTGATAGGCACACAGGGATCGGGAGAGGGGGTGTTGGAGAGGGAAGAAGGGAACGAGAAAGACAGAGACAGGATAAACAGAAAGAATGTAAGAGATTAGGTTTTGAGCATCTATTCCTATAATTGTGGTCTGCGACAGTAATGATAATCTCTCCATTTCTTCCTCTGTTATTTCATATTCAGTGTGTCCAGATCAGCTCCACGGAGTAAGACATGAAGTGGTGTAGGGGAAGTCCGAGAATTTTGTCTTTTTGCAATACTGTCAGATTCATATTGTTGTTTAGCTTCATGCTGCTGGCAGAGATTGCTTACATTTGGCGTGGGGTGAATTATGAAGGGTAACCATTGGAGTTCTGCAACTGCCCTACTGCTGGGAGTTGGCTTTTATCTCTAATTTTAGAGTGGTATGATACATTAGTGATGAACTTTTGGTATTGCTTGTCGGCTACTTATTTACAATATTGAAATGTTCCATATATAGTGCCATAACACTTATAATATCCCGATATAACACCTCTATGTGGAGAGCTTTAGAGTGAAGACCCTATAAATCGTATATATATATATTATATATATATATATATAATATATATATATTATATATTATATATATATATATATATACATATATGTATATATACCACACGCACCCAACCCACACACACACACACACACACACACACACACACACACATATATATATACATATATATATAAACGTATTTTTATAAATGTACAGATAGATATATTCATGCAGGGTGAATAAAGCGTTAAGAGTAAGGTAAAATCTATTTGAGCTTAACATATACAAAAAAAAAAAAAAAAAAAAAAAAAAAACAAATTCGAAATAAAAATGCCATAGACAGTCCTCAACGAACTACGAAATGCAGCATTCCCTTCCCGACAGTTGCTCAACGACCTCCATCCTGATCACTGAGTCGCCTTCGATCCCGTAATCCCTCAGGTTTATGATTCTGCATTTCCACGTTTCCCGCCATCAGACGCTGCCTGCTGGCTCTCGCGACACCATTCTCACGCTGCAACTCGCGCTTCACCTCTCCAATGGTCGTGTCAACGTCCACCACAACTCTTTTGACGCTTCCTGAAGGTAGTATCACACTGAGGAGGAAACCTGACGCCGCGCCGACAGCAAGGCTCTCCATGGCAAGGGTTTCTTTGGAAATTCGTCCCTGATGGCCGAGAAGCTCGAGTCGAAGCAGCAGGTTGTCCTTCCTAGGCTCCCACTTTCTGTTGAGGAGAGATAATCCCCGATCTTTATCAAGCAACGAGAAGTAATTTATGAATGTATATATATATATATATATATATATATATATATATATATATATATATATGTAATGTATTCACAATGTATTTATATCGCTTTCACCAAGAGTTTTCACTGTTTATGTCGGTTTCACTCTTATGCTAAACTGGTGATGGTGTTTGCTCGGATGCCTCTACCTGACGAAACGGACCCTATCGAAGGCAAAACGGACCGAAACGGAGCTTGTAGGATATTATTTTTATCTTTTGATGCAAGAACTATACTTTAAATAAAGTCCACGTAATGAAAACTGAGTTGGCATCTGGCCTGGAAATCGATGATTTATGGAGCACCATTTTCGGTTCATGTACTGGCGCGGCCATATTGGATACAAGATTGTCTGGACTTCAGTAGTTATATAAAGTACAATTGTTGCAGTAAAAGATGAAAATCTATATAGTGCAGGCTCCGTTTCAGCCCGATTTGCCTCTGATTCGGTCCGCTTCGGTGTTCTTAAGAACCGTCTCTTCATCTCAGGCGCCACCCGATGCAACTGTTGCTTCTCTAGGTCCGCCATGCCATTGTTGCTTCATGATTTTACTGATAACTCTCTGTGTATATATATTTAAATGTACAAGTATACTCACACATATATATATATATATATAATATATATATATATATGTATGTATATTTATAACTAAATGCAAAGTTCTACCACAGATTTGTCCCGGAGTACTTTTATAATTGTTCATATATTATCGTATACGTACTTAACTGAAATGGCCCAAGACGCCTCATATATACAACGACATGTAAAACACATCAGATTTACGTGAATCTATATATCAGTCTAAATAGCTGTGTGTGTGTGTGTTTGTGTGTTTTATAAGTTGAGTACCATTTTATCACCACTTTAAAACGACAATGATGGCTATATGTATCTGATTTAAGTAATGCATTCGGAAACTTTACGTTCTGATTGAGATGCAAGATAACAACGAAGTTGATAAAAGACACTTTAGACAGTTATCTGAGGTTATTCATTGCCATAATCAATGAAGATATGTATTCAGACAAATACTTCTCCACTTGCAATTCACCGTAACTACTTGTCTTTTCAATTGTTTATCCCGAAACTTTAAGATAGATGGATCTGAACTGCCCATGGCTCTATAGGTCTCCGTCGTTTTATAATGTGGCTAATGGTCCTCTTCACTGACCAAAGAGAAAGGAGAGAGAGAGAGAAACTGATAGGCACACAGGGATCGGAGAGGGGGTGTTGGAGAGGGAAGAAGGGAACGAGAAAGACAGAGACAGGATAAACAGAAAGAATGTAAGAGATTAGGTTTTGAGCATCTATTCCTATAATTGTGGTCTGCGACAGTAATGATAATCTCTCCATTTCTTCCTCTGTTATTTCATATTCAGTGTGTCCAGACCAGCTCCACGGAGTAAGACATGAAGTGGTGTAGGGGAAGTCCGAGAATTTTGTCTTTTTGCAATACTGTCAGATTCATATTGTTGTTTAGCTTCATGCTGCTGGCAGAGATTGCTTACATTTGGCGTGGGGTGAATTATGAAGGGTAACCATTGGAGTTCTTCAACTGCCTTACTGCTGGGAGTTGGCTTTTATCTCTAATTTTAGAGTGGTATGATACATTAGTGATGAACTTTTGGTATTGCTTGTCGGCTACTTATTTACAATATTGAAATGTTCCATATATAGTGCCATAACACTCATAAATCCCGATATAACACTCTATGTGGAGAGCTTTAGAGTGAAGACCCTATAAATCGTAATATATATATATATATATATATATATATATATATATATATATATATATTATATATATACATATTATATATATATAACATGTATGTACATATTCTCACATGTATACCACAACACAAACACATAACACACACATATACGCACACACACACATATATACTTATATATATATATATATATATATATATATATATATATATAAAATGTATCTTTATAGATATACAGATAGATATATTCATGCAGGGTAAATAAAGCGTTTAGAGTAAGGTAAAATCTATTTGAGCTTAACATACAAAAAAAAAAAAAAAAAAAAAAATGTAAATTCGAAATAAAAATGCCATAGACAGTCCTCAACGAACTACGAAATGCAGCATTCCCCTTCCGACAGTTGCTCAACGACCTCCA